TCGAGCGCGCCTGCTCCGCGCGGGCCCCCGGGGCTGCCGGGGCTGCTGCGGCCGCCGGGCCGGGGCGGGAGGGCGCGTGGCCGCGGGAAACGCACCGCTCCACTCCTCTCCCCGCTCACACACCGGGCTTTGCACTTGCCGTCGCCGCCTTGGCTTGGTAGGTGAGGAGACGGCAAAGGAAAAACAAAGGGGAAAAAAAAATATCAGTCACCGGTTCGTTTTGTCTTTTTCCCTCTCTGTGGCACCCGAGACGCCACGGAACGCCGTCTAGCGGCGGGATCGTCCAGGGAGGCTAGGTGGTGTAATCTCCCCCTCAACTTTTCGTGTTAATGGGACTTTTGAAGCCTCTTTACCTCTGTCACGCCACAGAAGGGGACACAACAGGACAACCTCTGGGTGCTGATAAGTCTAGTTCTGTCACCCCAGGCTAACTCGGAATAAAGGAGGCTGAACCATTCCCTGTCCCTGTCCGGAGTCACCCTCTCTTTGGGGACAAAGTACACGAGTGGCCTCTGTGAGGCTAAGACTGAATTGCAGACTTTCGCTTGAAATTCCTCAGCGCCATTGGTCCTCAGGGGAGAGGACGTGACCTGAGTAAAACTGCGGCAAGGATCCCTTCACAGAAGGGGCCGAGTAGACGCCCCCAGGGCATCACCCCCACTCCAACCCTCCTCTGCAGCAAGGTTTTAGCTCAGTTCTTAAAAACAACTCTTACGCGTGTTGGTTCTGTGGGTCTTTCTCCGCCGCACCCAAAGCAATGCCCTGATAGCACCCTCTTAGAGGGGTAGGCCCGTGCGTGTTAGCATTTGTAAAGACTCGCCAGTTACCTCCAAGGCTGCGCTGTAAAAACACAGTTCTCAGCATCTGCAGTCAACAGTTTCTCTTGACTTGCTTTAAACTGCACCCTGCTCTCACCTAAGGCCTCACTGATGATTGTGTGAATGTTAAGGCAATTCTTTACTTATCTAAAAGACGCTCCTTTTCCTGTCATTTCAACTTCGGAAAGAATCAGAGCTACGATAAAGACGGTGTATAGATTTTTTTTTCCCCTAGGGAAAAAGAATACAGCAGTAAAGAGAACTACACTCATAGGGAATTAAATGATTGTAAGTAAATAGGAAGAAAGGTAACCCATAGTGGTGCCATTAAACAAAATTAACAGGGTAGAGGAAGTGGCTACTATTGGGCTGTCTGGAAGGAGCAGAGGGGAGAGGGGGTAGTCTTGCTTACAGCCATAACCTATAATAATGCCTTGCAAACTGTAAACTGCTCTCAAACACCATACTTAGCGTTTTACCAGGTTTATTTTACTTGTTATACACAGACGATACAAACGAGCAGAAAACAAAACGATTCTCAGTGGAGTGTGTACTTGTATAAATTATTCAGTTCACAGACAAAACAAAACAAATATAAAAATCACAACATTTGATTTACAGAAGAGCCAAAGTATACACACGTTTAGACCCTGAATTCCTATTAGGAAAAATCCCCCCATGGACTGGAATCTAGATTGAATATTGTGTATGATGCATATTTCACATTGATTTTAAAGTACAAAAGAAGTGTAAGTTTGCTACACAACATTAGAAATCCTACTAATCTGTTTCCAGGGGGATCAATGCTCCTTATCAAATATAACAAGACTTGGGGGGAAATCAGTCTTACTTGCAAGAATGCTAGTATTTTCCCAAGAAAGTCAATTCTCAGCTGTCTCTAAGTGGTGGGGGAATCGTTTTCAAAACTAAAATGCAGTAAATGTACAACTCACACAGTTCATCTTCACCAGACTACACTACAGTTACCAACAATTCAGCCATCCATAGCATTAGGAGGTTATTCATTACAAAGATTTACAGCATATGAGGGTGGAGTGCGGACTGAAAAGATCTTCAGAAACAGTTTGTCAGCATATTTGGCACCTGCACAGACCAGTAATGGATTTGGCACTTTGGGGAAAAACAAATAAGGCAAAATAATATTGCTGATGTGGAGCTATTCCATTTAGAAGGAAGGGAGGAAAACACACAACTCCAGTTAACTCCGCTTTGCAGGCATCATGCCACTTAATAGACTTGCCTAGGGACAGACAACTAGCTTTTATAGGTGTTCAGGTGGGTTCTCCTTAGCTATTTTGTGTGCACTGGGGCACATAAGTGGTTACATCATGCAACAAATTGAGAGGTGAGAAAGCCACCACTATGGAGTGTTTCATGTTTCCAGAGCCTCTTAGGATATATCTTTAATATCTCACAAGAAAACAATGGGGGGAGGGAGCGGATGGGGGTGGAAGAAAGAATGAAGGGAGAAAAGAAGAGGAAAGGGAAGGAGATGAATAAAAAGTTAAGCATGAACTGGTTTTGTGCCTTGACAATGAGAATAAAAACTAGCCATTCGATACAATAATTTAACACTATATACAATCATTTCACAGGCTTTGTTCCACTAAAAGTATTAACATCCCTACCATCCATCCATCCATCCACTCGGGTATAAGAAAGGACGCGCTGGGCTGGGTGGGTGCAGGTTCTAGAGCCAACATCCTACGGTTAATGGGGAGGCCAGGACGAGGCGGGTCGGAAATCGCTGCTGCCTGACCGGACGGCCCAGGTCTCCTAAAGTTGAAGAGTTTCATTCCAAGAGAAAGAGGGGGGCGGGGGGGGGGGAGAAAAGAAAAAGAAAAAAATAGACGGGGAGAATCATAACTTCACAGAAGGAAAGTTGGAAAAACACAAGGTTGACCGCCAGCTTCGAGGTCGGTGCTCTAACTGCAGAGACGGCTGTGCAGAAAGAAAGAAGAGAGTTTTAAAAAAACAAAAACAGAAAACAACCGTGGTGGGAGACCTGCACTCATCCCCCGCGGACGGCCACCGAGGGTCAGGCGAGAGAGCGAGCGCGCGAGAGCGGGCGGGCCGGGGGAGGAGGACGCGGGGCAGCGAAGCCGGGGGGCCGGGGTGGGGCCGGGCGCGGGCGCGGGCGCGGGCCGGGCGGCCTAGCTGTGCGAGTAGAAGCCGTAGTAGCCGCCTATGTCCTTGGCGCAGTTCTTCTCGCAGTCCCGCTGGGCGAGCACCTCGCTCTTGAGCGGGGACGAGCTCTCGGACACGGGCGTGTCGGCGGGCGAGATCCGCCTCCGCTTGGCCTGCTCGTAGATGCCCGAGTCGCTCGAGTCGATGGACTTGATGGAGGAGGGCGTCTCGATCCAGCTGGAGTCGGACAGGTCCTTGAGCTTGGCGTCGTCGGCGGCGGCGGGCGCCAGCGGCGAGCGCTCGGCCGCCAGGCCCTCGGCCTCCTCGCCCAGGTAGGGGTTGGCCCCGGCCATGCGCGCGGCGGCGGCGGCGCTGTTGGGCCAGCAGGGGAGCACGGAGCCCGACTTGGCGCCGCAGTACTGCGGGGGGCTGCGGGCGCCCCAGCCCGAGGGGTCGGCGTAGTAGCCGAGCGGGCGGCCCGTGCAGCCCGCCGCCTGCAGCGGCAGCGCCTTCACGCCGGCGGCCGCGTACGACAGCAGCGTGGCCGCGTTGCCCGCGAAGTCCGTGGCCGTGTCGTAGGCCGAGGCGGCGAAGTCCAGCCGGTTGTTGGCCGGCGTCACGAACCAGCGCTGCGGCGACGGCGCGCCCGGGTCCTCGGCCTGCTGCGGGGACAGCAGCCCGTTGGTGTGCGGCACGCTGCGGTCCGTGCCCGGCCCGGGGCCCGCGCCGGCGCCCGGGTGGAAGCGGGCCTTGGCGTAGTTGCTCACGAACTGGTCCTGCAGGAAAGAGCCGGCCATGGCGTAGCGGGCGCCGGGCACGATCTGCGAGCGCGGAGAGTCGTTGGGCGACGGGGTCAAGCGGTCCATGTCGCAGCCCGTGTAGATCCTGGGGTGGGGAGGGAGAGAGAGAACCGAGGGGTGGCGCGGAGGTCCCTCTAGGGTCCTGGAGGGGAAGCCACCTCTCCTGTGTGCCCGCCCCGCACACCGTCCGTCTAAGTTGGGCTTGCCACTCCGGACGCGGACAGCGGAAGGTCACAGGCCCGCATGCCCCCGGGATGGCCTCGACGGGAATAAGACCAGCTCACGTGCTGGAGCCTGAGCGGGACACAGGGTGAGGAGTGGAGGGCTTCCCTCTTCCCCCGTTCCCGCTAAACGCGCCCGGACCAAGGAGAGGCCTCAATCCACTCCATTGTGCTCGCATTACGGCAGAGTTTATCCAGACACTAAGGTGCAGTTTGCCCGGTGGGCCTTTCCTCTCTGGTGAATTTCTGAGTGAAAATTCTAAACGATTGACCCGCTCTCTCCACCAATTTACGACCTCCTGTGTCCATTGAGTATTCCAGACGGTGATTCCTACTCTTTTTCTGGGCACTTCAAGAAATCCCCAGAGGGGAAAACCGCGTAGGGAAGGGAAGGACATACAGGTCCAGGTAATAATGTCATAGACTGACTTTCACTGGCCTTCGCAGCCCCAGAGGATTGCTGCTGGAATCCTCTAAGGAATTTTTTTTTTTTTGTCTCCCACCACAAGCAACAAACAAGAAACTACTGCTTGTAAGCAAGACTCACTAATCAATAAAATTCTTTAGAAAGAAAAGTGTACTTTACTCTCATCTTCTCTACAGCTTTTGATGCATTACTAGAAGAAAAAGAGGAGAAAAGCCCTCTAGGGAAACTCTTACAGTTATCACCCTCATCAAGCAACCAACCACTAATAACAGCTAACCCTTACAGAGCTTAGATGTGCCTGACTGTGCAGATAGAAATTATTTACATAAGCACAGGTAGATTATCTTAATGCTATGTATGACTCCACTTTCCTGATGAGGAAACTGAGGAAAAGGAAACTTAGAGAACCGGCCCAATAATCAAGAGATAAAATAAATACTTTTTATTAATGGGCCTAGGAGGTAGAACTAGAAGTGAAGTTGGATGCTGATGAGTGTCTCCTCACACACAGACACCTCACTTTTTACCTACCTCTCACATTAGTCAGCCCACTGTTTTGAAGGAGTGCCTCAGTGTTGCCAGACCTTAATCCCAAGGGGAGAAAACTCTCCTGGGTGTGGCTGGGCAACCTCCTTGGATCCCCTGAACTGTCAGGCCCCACCCCCACATTGCTCTGGGATCAAAGAAGGCCCATGGTACCAACCTTAAAGATGAGAGCCAGTGTGTGTTAAATCTACTCAACTCTCTCTCCTCTCTCTCTCTCTCTCTCTCTCTCTCTCTCTCTCTCTCTCCCCCAAACCCAGGGATTACTTTTGTATAGATAAGATTTTTATGACAAACTTATAGTGATTTAAGAAAGGAAGGGGCTTATCCAACAGGATTAGGGGCAGGTCAGAATTGCTATGGCTGCTCAGGTACATTACCCCCCCCCCGCCAAAAAAAAAATATCCTCCTGAAACTTAATTCCAATTGCAAAAAAAAATGGAGGGAGGCAGGAAGGGAACATAATTAGCAAAGTTCAAATATCTTCTCTGTTTACCATAATAAGATTCTTTAAAAGAAAAAAAAAAGCAGTCTGAAAAAGATACAGCTTAGATGCCCATCCAGGTCACAAACCACTTGGGATTTGTGCAAAATAAATGCTAAGAACAGATGTTCTTAAAAGAGGTAAAAGCTCAGAATCTCTACAGCTCCCCTCCAGCATCCCTGGCCTCTTGGGCCACATTCTTTCCACTGTATTGGGCCCACCTTTTTCATGTTTTTGAGACCTGAATCAGCAAAGTTTTATTCCAGAGAACCACATTCATGAGGCTTGGTTCCTTCTGGAGAAACACTGAAAGCTGAAGCCAGGAAATATCACTGACTTTCCCACTTGTTATAAACAATATGGAGAGGAAAGACGGACATCTGCGGGTTGGGATGAAGGGCTACCTGTCTCTCTTCCCATACATGTAATCCATTCCTAGTCAAAGACGTTAACATTTTAGCTCTATCCCAAAGCCGGGAAATTACAGTGTGTATTTCCCTTTATCTTTTATAATCAGAAAAAAAGGTAGCTCGTATAATCCCACTTTACATTTTGCTATTTAACACGATCTGAAAACTCTTAGGCACTATAGTCCCTGATCAAGAATCCCAGAACAGATCTAGAGAGCATTCCGTTTACACCTATGGCTGCGCCGAAGTACAGGGCTCTGAAAAGGACATAGAGATAGGTAAGGGGGCCTGAAGAAAGGGACCAACACATTTAATTAAACAATAGATCCAAAAAGTAAGAGGAGACATTTTTAACCACAACTCCTTGCTGCACAAGGCCTGTAATGACTGTAAGTTAAGTTCTGCTTCCCAAACTCCTGGCGAATGCACAATTTCTGTTCAGTCCATAGTAAACCTCACAGGAAATGCTGTCACACAAAACTTGGAAATGGGGAAATAAAAATCCCATATGCCAAGGAGACTGTAACAACTGCCAGAGCCACAAGCACTTTCAGGCAGAATCACCCGGTTCAGACACAGACAGTCCAAGCTGAGTATCTGCAGCCACAGAGACAACAGGCGCTGGGGGAAAGCAGAGCAGCTTCCCCGGCCCGCCAGCCAGCCAGCCAACACCAGAGGCCACCAATAACTTTGGGATTTGAAAGAAAGCTAAAAATAAGTACAGGAAACTTTTAACCGAAATCATGCAAATACCAAGCCACAAGGTCACCGGAGAGGGAGCCAACAAGATGAGGAAGGTAAAATCTCAATCGGTTTTCTCCCACATCTTCACTTACAAAATTCTTAAACACAATAGTCCACCCTTAAGCTAGTGGCCAATCCAGCAGCTGTTTGAGAAGGAATATGTAAAACTACTTACGTGTCATAGTTATCTCGAAACCCTTTTGCGAAGGGGTTATGATCTATTTTTAGTTGTGTAATCTGGAAAAAAGAGAAGAAAGACTGAATGTGACCTCCACTTCTACATGGGAAGGTGTGTGTTTGAGGCTATTTCGCCTGCCACTTGACAGGGGCTTAGGCCTACTTTCTCAGTAAATAGCAAAGGTTCTCCAACAAAATTTAAGAGAATGGCAGGAAACTATAGGGTTATGAGAACCAGGTTTAAATTAATAATACCTAAAGGCAATTCAGGTGGCTCTCCTATGTGCTATAAGCTGATTTAAATAGTCACTCTAAAAAAATACTGATTACATGCAATTCACTAGGACAAAAATCCTTAAAAACTTTAACTCATCACTAACTGTTTTCAGGAGTTTAGCAAGAGATTCTCAATCCAAAATAATAATAATAATAATAATAATAATAAATAAAAATAAAAAAGCAAACAAACATAAAACTGTAAACTGCATCTTAAAATGGATTGACTAGAAATAATAATTTCATTTCTGATATATTCATCTACATGACCAAACACAAAACTTCTAAACTTCTAAGTTACAACAGCTACTAAAATTAGTTTTTGCAAACACCAAGAACCACAAAGGCTCAAATGTTAGAAATCTCTCATCAGTCCCTGTAATTTGACTTTTTTTTGACGTTTTCATATTTCATGTCTACGAATATGTATGTACTCGCTTTTCTGTTTTGAAGCCTCAGAACAGTAGTATCTGCTCATTTTAGCCACCAGTTCTGAGGTTTTTAGAGACATTATTTTAGGGGTAAATCTGCCTGTTTCCTAAAAGAAGAAGAAGAAAGAAGAAAGGAGGAGAAGGAGAGGAAGAGGAAGAAGGAGGCGGAGAGGAGGAGGAAGAAGAAGAGGAAGAAGAAGAAATAGAGGAGGAGGAGGAGAGGAGGAAGAAGAAGAAGAAGAAGAAGAAGAAGAAGAAGAAGAAGAAGAAGAAATAGAAGAAGCACGTTTTAACGTATTCTAGCTTAAGGACCAAACTAAAGCATCGGTCCTGGAAATCGTGTACACTACACAGCTGGGGCACGATTATCAGAGCTGAAAGCACAGAGGCAGAGCTAGCTAGGCCCTAGCAGGCCCCTAGCCCTACCCTACCCTGTGCTGTAGGGTCGGCCTTGACCTAGGCTAGTCTGCGTGCCTGATGGAGCACCAGGGGATAAGGGGTTGACAGTCACCCGCGCCCAGCCCCGAGCCTCCTTACATCCGTGTTCTGGTAGGCGGTGACGGCGATGAACTGAGTCTCCGGGAAAGTGAACGTCTGGACGCGCCCGGGCTGGCTGGTGTCCTCTGTGCCATCCTCGTTCACTTCCACCACGTGCAGACGGGGCTGGTACTTGTGCAGGGACTGTAAAACCACCATCTGTCCGGCGGAGAGAAAGGAGAGCGCCTTGAACGCGCGCCTGTTCGCACCAGCCCCGGGGCTCGTTCTGGGCCGGGTGGAGCCAACTGGAGCCCGCTGCCCCGGCCTGGCTGTGGGACTCGCCTCCTGGTGACTGGCTAGCCGGGACACCTTGGCCCGGTTACCTCTGGGAGCTAGGATCCCCTGGGCACTGGGGAAAACTAAGCCCGAAAGCCAATCCTCGGTCCCCTTCCCTTAGTCCTCCCCAGGGGAGGAACAAAGATTTTTCACAAGCTACAGATCTCAAATCTGCGTTTCTTTTTCAAAATCAATCAGTATTTGTGTTTGGAAGGGTAAATTCCGAAATGAGGTCGGATGGACCGCAAAGGGAGCTACTTTATGGATTAAATACAATTTGTGGAGAGAGAATTGCGGTTTTTGAAGTCTTCGCTGGTGGAAACAAATCCTACCCAGTTTTTCGTGCTGCTGTAAACTAAAGGCTGTGTGTGTGTGTGTGTGTGTGTGTGTGTGTGTGTGTGTGTGTGTGTGTGTATGTGTGTGTATGTGTGTGTGTGTGTGAGAGAGAGAGAGAGAGAGAGAGAGAGAGAGACTGACCTGCCCATTGTTGTTTGATGCTCCCTTGTTGTTGGTGAGTTTTAATTTTCCAAAAGAGATTTCTTGCCGCATCCAGTGAGCCCCAGTGTTGGGGGAATCGGGGTGCATATAGACCCGGTTTCCTTGATAAAGAAATAGCTTGTTTACATATGCTCTGGGCACTACCCAGTCCCAACTCCCTAGCACATGAAACACACACACACACACACACACACACACACACACACCTCCACAATGAAGCCCACTAGCTGTAATTTGGGGGGGGGGGTGGCATACTTTCTTCTATTAACTAGGGATTATTAAAATAGCTTTAGCGTCCACTCTCAACACACACACACACACACACACACACACACACACACACACGCACCTTCACAGTGAGGACCATTAGCTGGGCTTTTTTTTTTTAAGCCTCAATTTCTTCCCATTAAGTGGGAATGATTAAAATAGCTTTTGCATAATCCTCCCCTTTCTTGCCGCTCAGTCTGTCCCCCAGCCCCTCTCTTCTTTAGGAAGTCATTGGCCGATCGTTTTAAAAAGTCGCTCGAGCCAGTCCACAAAGGCTTTAATTAATCATTCTCACCTAAATAAGTGTCAAGAAAACGTGTTAATTGGAAGGACTTGCCTTGCACATTGGTGTCCGCCTTGCCACAAGGAACCCATTTGCCTCCTTGAAATCTCCAGTGATTGGGATCCGCCAAAATCACATCCACAAAAATATTGTAATGGGCGGTGGGATCGAGACCAGAAATGTTAAAACTCAAAAAGGGGAACATGCGCCTGTTCAAATGGAGGAGAGAGAGAAAACAAGACAAAAAAAAAAAAAAAAAAAAGAAAAAGAAAAAGAAAAGAAATGTTAAAGATCAAATGCAAGAAGCGGGGCGCCAGATAGCCAAGCCAAACTTGTCCTCGCAGCTTGTCTGAACGAACGTTTGCCGGTCTAGGACAGAGGCAGCGGGAGAGGGGCAGCCGGAGGGCCGCAGCCGGGGCGAGCAGCGGGCGCTCCGGCGTGGGGGGCCGGCGGGTGGCAGCGCCCGGGGCGAGGGCCGGTTGGGGGGCCCCCGCTCCTCCACCTGTGGGCACGGGCTAGCCGCGCTGGGTCGCTCCGAACGGCGGCTCTTCGTCGGGCTCCAGCCGCCGACTGGCTCTCCGACCGCGGCCGCGCAGCAGGCTCCCCGCCACCAGCAGTCCCCGCGGTGCTCGGCATCCCTTCCGCTCTCTCCCCTTCTCCAAAACCAGCCAGCTCCGGGGCGCACCCCAGCGCCTCTCCCCGACCCCACAGCGTCGCTGCCCGGGGGGTCACAAGTTGGGTGCTCTCGCCCAGGGTCGCGCCGGGAAGCGCGGCCGCTAAGAAAGTAGCATTACCTTCCCTGCTTGGTGATGATCATCTCCGTTTGGTGCCGATGAAATTTCAGCCAAAGTGGCCTGTTGCACAGGTATACCTGCGCCTTGCCGGGCACCAGCCCGGGCTGGGTGGAGGAGAACTGGTAGAACGGGGCTCCCTGGTAGGAGTGGCCGTACTGCTGTGGGTAGGGGTAGCCGGCCGCGGGGTAGCCCTGCGGCGAGGAGTTGGACAGCAGGCTGTTGTAGGCTCCGTTGGTGATGACCGGGTGGTGGGCCATGTAGCGGCTGGGGCTGCCGATGGAGAAGGCGGGATGCGCCGGTCCGTGCTGACCGGGGTACGGGAACATGGCACTGGGAGCGGTGGCCGCAGACTGTGGCTGGCTGGACTGAGAGAGGAGGTAGCGATCTGCAGCAGAGCCATCGAAACTGTGACGAAGCTCAGAGACCCCGTCCAAGACAGGAGAGAGTTTACTTCTCTGGACGTCCCCTGGTGAGTCCTTGGAGTCAGGAAAATTGTCTGTATCTGACTGATTCGTCATCCCCCTGGTAATTTTTTTCAAAGGTGAACTTCTCTCCAGGTTGTCAGTGGTCGAGATAATGGGATGATCGTGCAAGACAAGCTCAGATCCGCCCGAATGTGGGTAGCTGCTGCTCACATTGAGAAATTTCTTGGAGAGCATGATAGAGGGAGAGAGGCAATGCTCCAGCTGCATAGCTCTAGAACCTGAACGCTCGCCCTCCCGTCCCTGGCTTTTAAAGTCCTGTTTATCATAAACTAGGAATCCACAGACCCCTCACTAGACAGAAAGCACTTCAACCAGCAAATGCTTCTCAAAGGTTTGATTTACTTTTTTTTTTTCCCTGGGAGAAGAGATTGGCCAATTGACACTATGCAGCAATCAGAAAAGGCTCACTTTTGATCTTGCTGCTTATGCAGCCGATGAAACGGCTCCTGCCATTGGTTAGTTGCTGACAGTAATTTAATTAGATAGACATTAATTAGGATAATCACCTGGCTCCTGGTCGCGACGATCATGGCAAATTGAAGGGGATGATTTTATTGTTGGCTTGGGGGGTGGGGAAGTGTGTTGGTTTACGTGAGCTCTGTTATGTCACCTTTAAGCTTTGTGACCACTGCTTTAGGAAGATTCAAAGATGTGCAATTTACTAAACATTTCAGACCCCCCCCCCCTTAGAGAGGAGGGGCGGAGGAGGGAATTCGATGATGCTAGGAGACTTTTCGGATCTGAATGAGCCAAATATTCAGTTGAATGTAACGATTTCAAGTGCAAAGTATACAAAGCGCGAGCCGGTGGCCTCTTCTCGCCCTGTAAAACTTCCAGAGTCTGTCTTTTCCAGTTAATACACAGAAGCACACACACCTGAGCCTGGGCTTTGTTGAATAGGTACTGCGTGTCCTTGACGCCCCCTCCCCCACCTTTAAACTACAGGACTAAATAAATAAATAAATAAACAAAGCTCCGCCGCCGAAAGCCACAGCGTTAAGAGAGAAGTGGAGGCTAAGCAGCTCGCCCACCCATCAACCCACCTCGGGAAGGTTCGGTTTCCGGCTAGGGGACAGAAACAGTGACAATCTATGATCTCCTTTTTAAGTTTTGAAATAATCATAAGCCGTCGCGCTGAAGTGCTTTAATGTATTTGCAGTCGTGTTTACTGGGTCGTTCCTAAATATTTTATCAGCCAACTTGGTTGCAGATCGTCTGAGGAGCAGCTAGCTGGGGGCGGGCGCCATATATCCTTTGAGCCCCACCGCACTTCCTCCTTTCGGAGGCACTGGCTTGGTGACAGGTTGGTAAACCTCGCCAGGAAAGACAGGGCTGAGTCCCCAGTGCAAATGGGTTCACTAGAAGCATTGATCTGGGGAGACGGTAGAAGCGGTGTCAACGCGGTGATCGTACTGAACTCTCTCTCTCTGTCTCTCTCTCTCTCTCTCTCTCTCTCTCTCTGTGTGTGTGTGTGTGTGTGTGTGTGTGTGTTTGTGTGTGTGATGTTTACATAATCCAGAGGGAGAGAAAAAGAAACCATGCCAGTAATTTTTAAAAGAGGATTAGAGAAAAGAATCGATTTAAAGAGATTTTTGGCACAAATAACACCCAGGCGCCAAGCAACTCCGAGGTGGGGAGAAAAGATCTTCTGGTGTGTGCTCCACAGGAAGCCCGGGGCACCTGAGATGGCCAGAGCCAGAGCTGCTGCGTGTCGCCGGGCACGGCCAGCCTGCTCCTAGAGCTTTCCTCTGAACGCCAGAGGCTCAGGAATGCAGAGCCAACCCCGGGCTTAGCTCAGCTCAGGCCAGCAAGGTGGTCGAGAGGCGGGAGCTCCGGGGGACTAAGAGAGAGCCAGGCAATCTGTCTGGCTCAGACCCCAGAGGCTCACACTCATGCCGCAGGCAGGCGGGGCCTGGGCATCTCCAGGTGGGGCCTCTGCCTTCAAGGCGGCGGTGGCAGGATTCCCCGGCCAGAGCAGCAGAGTTCAACGCTGGGAACGTGGCTGTGGGGTATGGTCAGACAAGAGTTAACGGATTCAAATGTGATGGAGTTTGGTGTGCAGCGGCCAGTGCTGAGCACAGACAGGCTACACCACCTCCCTCAGAGACTAGGCTGTGGCTGCAGAGGGTACCAGCTGCAGCCTCCAACAGGGCACAGGAGCAGGACCTGGCACTGATGGCCATAGGCCGGACAGGTTGATGATCAGATGTCTCAGAATCAAGTAGAAGCAATTTTCTGAGAGAAAAATAACGTCAGTACCATTTTCCCTTGAAAGCAAAGCTCAGCTCGTGGCCAGGAAGCTTTATGGACAGGCAGGATTTGAGCTGCTCAGGATTGGAGCACCGAGGTGGAGGAGGGTGGATAGCTGTGATGGCATTCGATGTTCTCCTCCTTAATCTCTGCCGCTACTTTCGCCCATTTTACCTGCATTATTAGCTTCTGTCATCAAATGCCTCTCCTCTGCCTCCTGCTTCTCACCTCATCCTGCCCCTGAGCAGGACACCAAGCCTTAAGAGCATAGGAAGGTGAGGTATCACCTGGGCTTCGGAAGCTTTTTGCCATCCTGGAAACGGGATCTGGCTTCTTGAAAATGTAAAGACTGCCAAAGTGACCAAGTGTGAAGAGGATAGTTTTTAAGGGACTGAATTTGGGGTGAACAGGCAATGTGACCCACTTTGAATAATCAGCCCCCAAATCAGTGCTTCCTCAAAAACAGGCTTTGTCTTGAAATTTGGGTATACTCAGAACAAAAAATGAGGGATCTCGACCGGTCTTGTTACCTTAGGTCTAGGGTGGGACTTAGACTGTGTATATAACACTGGTCTGGGCAGATCAAATTTGAATAGTGTAGTTACTTAATTTTAATTCTCCAATATCTGTGAAAATTGTTATTAATTAGAAAGAGTGAAAACCCTATATCTTTAAAAAAAATCATGCCCATGAAGTGTGTATTAGTCAAAAGGAATTCTATCCTCCATTTATTTAAATTTTAAATGACTGGATGAAATCCCAACAACCGCAGTCAACAATAACCACATCTAAGAAAACAGGAGAAGCAAGAAGTGTCCAAATAACCTCATTCCGCTAAGAAGGAAGAGGAGGAGATGACACTGAACCATACTGGAAATATAAGAGCACTGTACCTTCAATCCCTGGTAATTTCATCAGATGGAGAGTACACAGACAGAACTGCTTATTTAGGACACTGTACTGTTGTACCATGCCATTCATGGCACCCGAGCAGGTGGTCTATAGCTACCCAGTACATAACCCCTCCTTAGGGAAGACTCAGACATGCTCTGACCGTATTTCCACAGATACCACCTAAAATTAAATCTCAGTCTCCATACGGTTAGAAACTCCATGGGGTACTCAATAAATTGTTTTTTATTAACAAGGAGGGTAGGGTTATCTGTTTACCTTAGGGGAGAAGCTATGAGAACTGCCAATAATCAATACTACTATATTAAACACTGAATATTTCAAAGTTAATTCAGGAAAGAAAACAAAATCATTGTTTATAAACTCATTATATTCAATTTACAATGGGCCTTTTCTCACCTTTTTAGCTTTGAAGAAATCATACCTTCAATGACTGACTTACATGAAAATGTAGTAGTTTCCAAAAGTCAACTTCTAGACAATTTCAAAATAAAATAAAATTGCTTGCCTTTTAAATGTACTTTTCTGAAATCCTCAAAGGGCTAAGATATGAATATATAATATTGGTTTGAGAGAAAGGCTTAAAAAAACAACCCTCAGCTTTTTATCCGGGTTGCCCACTAAGGAGGAAGCCACTCACTAATGGCAATCATTAACTGTGAAGTTTGGTTGTCACAGTGATGTTTTCTGTGTTGGTAGATTGCAAAACGCAGAGAGAAACATAGCTTTGTGTGAGATTTCCACAGCACTGTCAAATGTTACTCTGTCACTTCCACCCAGTGCCAAAAAGACCTCAGGAGACATGGATTGTAAATGTATTTTATTTTGTAAGCAACAATCAAAATATATTTGTGCTACTGATTTTTTTTTTCAAATAGTAAATGGAATCTTAACAAAATTTGTCCACTTTGATGTATTCCTGAACAACTTTAGAATCTGCAAAACCCTGACTAAATGAACAGAAGAAACTGCACAACTGAGATGGAGGTGGCACAGGCATCTTCCTCACCACAAGATCACCTTTAGAGTTCCCCTGATTGTGAGCATCAGGGACAACACAGAAATGCACCCGAGAGTGTCCCTGACAGCTCTCTGCGCTGCTTTATTTAAACACAACGGTGTCCAACATTGCTGCCAAACACTGGACAATATTTGAAGTCATAAGCACATCCACATGTTCTTCCAAATGACGTTTGGGATCCTAAAAGAAAAAAAAAAAAAAGTAAAAGAAGGAAAAAAAATAGCTGTATTATTAGTAATACATTGTATTTCAAGAACAGATTACTTTAGTCATGAAGCCTAAATTTACACATATTTTATCATTCAACTTTTCCAATGTGTTCATTGTTACATTCTTATGGTTTCTAAATTTGTTAGGAAGTTAAAAAATTACCCAATGAAAGTCTGATTACTGCAATCAATGATAGTTACAGATTCTCATAAAGGGTAACAGGTAAAACTAACAATCACCTGATTTTAAACATGGGCATTTATGCATGTGTATATGCTCAAGTATGTATATTCTGTCATTAATAGGTTTTATTGTCTAATGATGTTTTATTTAAGGCATGGATAAGAGTGTAATGTGCATTCTTGTTTTTATCTTTGTATAATATGAATTCTGTATAATCTTAATATTTCAAGAAAATGGTTAAAAAATATTCTTGGATCAAAAGCTGCTGTAATTGAACATTTTAAATATAATTTGGATTAATGCTAAAATGTTAAGGATGCTTCATCCAGCTATTCTGGAAAACTGTCTCATTGAAACTTACATAGGAATGACACTTAAAACCTTATCAGATCCATTTTAAAATAGGTCAGTCTACATTATAATAAAAAAATTTAAATGTTAATTTATGTTTAAAAATAAGTTATTTCAGCTAAATTTGAAAGCTTAAAAGAAGAAAACTATTATATGCAATAAGAAACTATTGAAAAGCATTATTGTCTTACATGTGTTTAAATGACTAAGAGTCACAGCTTTTAAGTCTTCTTCCCTGGATTATGTCTCAGCTCTTCTTTTCTCATCAATAATTTCACTTTTTAAAACTGAGACAAACACAAGGTACACCTCCTTCCAAATGACTTGTCTACAGTACTATTATTTAGGGATTAAACCTTAATACATTCCAGGTGAAGGGAAATTCCAACAGTAGAAAAAAAAAAACAAGATAATGACCTATTTGCCACTTTAAAAAATAAATACAGTGGCCATGCCTGTAATTTCAGCACCTGGGAATCACAGGCAAAACAAAACAAAACAAACAAACAAACACACACAAAAACACCCTCTGTGAGTTTGAGACCAGCCTGGTCTACCTATCAAGTCCCAGGACAGCCAGGGATACACAGTGAGACGCTATCTCTAAAAATCAAAACAAACAATCCACTATAATTCTGATGCTTTCTTTTTTGTTTGCTTTTTGAAACAGGGTTTCTCTGTGTAGCTCTGGCTGTCCTGGAATTTACTAGGTAGACCAGGCTGGCCTCAAACTCACAGAGATCTGCTTGCCTCTGCATACCGAGTACTAGGATTTAGAGGCCTGTGTTACCACACCCAGCAATTCTGATGATTTCTAAACCACATCAATTATATATATATATATCTGCCAGTTTCAATTTTAACTTAGTCCTTTCACTTTCCGGTGGGCTTTAAAGAAAATATATAAGAAACCACAGCCCTAGAAAGTAATTTATTTACTGAGTTCTAGAAAGGGTACGGCTCCAACCTGGTAATCTAACATATTAAATGGAAAATAAAAAGTAGAAAATAGGAAAAAGGCTGATATTACATAGACTGGAAAATAAGATGAATTCTTTTATTTTGGTTTGAAGGTACTCATTTTTAAACTGTAATTTTCAGAACGTACTAATATTTGAGTTCCTTCTTTATAATATACAATAAAGCTAGACCTTTGCCCTACTACTCTGTTGGATTAATTGCTTTACAGTGAATCGGTAACTCATTTATCAGTTATCTACATTACTTCTTGTGGCAGCTGGGTGATTCTTAGAGATTTCCCATCCAAGAATGGTCCTGGCCCAAACCTACATAGCTTGTGAGATGTGATGGGATCAGAGCATATGGTAGGATGGCTGAAAGCAAAGACAGCTTAGTGTCTTGCATCTGAAATATCAAGATTCTGCCAACATCAGCAATATGATAACCATGCTCCATGAAATAGGGAAAATGTAATCAACATTCTTTAGAAAAACAGTCTAATTAATCTGTAGATTCTCTTAATTGCTGGGTATGTTCCCCCATCCTCTGATAACCAGGCTTAAATATATATTTCATCTTAGAAGAGCAAAAGAATCACTATTTAAGCCCTTTCTCACAGTGCAGTCAATAGAATTCTAAACTTTCTCAGGATATCAGCTACACAGTAACAAAATGTACCTTTAAAATGGTTACAAATGATGTAAATCTGTAGGAACACTACCCATCTATTGATAAAATGAATCATTATGGAAATGGTTAAATAAATCTACTATCCTTATCATTTTACTTCATCTATAGTAAAATTATCTAGGGTTCTTTAATTTGTTTTTACTATATTATTTTCACTAAGGACAGTATGTCATAGAGTAGGGATTTATGATTTATTCTCTACAAATAGCAAAAAGAATTTGACATCAAATAAATATAGTGGTCTTTAAATTTTAGTATGTTTCAATGACAAAAGAAAAATGTAATATAAACAAGAAAAATTATGGTCCCTAAACTAGTTTTACCGCTACAAGAGCACATAGCCCTCGGCTGTAACCTATTAGTCTCCTCACCTGCTTGCCAACATTCTTTATTGCCAGCTGCTCAGGTGTCATCTTATCTTCTTCTTCCACAGCCTGTGAAGGAACACAAAGGACAGTTTCAAATTCTGTATTTTCCCATTGAAGAATCATCACCAAATCAAAGATGATCACAATTTTCATTTAGAGAACCTTTACAATCTTTGAGGTAATGAAAACTATTACTGGCATCGTTTAGAAATACCTAAACAATACAGATATCACACTGATCACTGAATGGCATTGAGAGATGGGAAGATGGGGGTCTGAGGCAGCCTTCTTTGCTACTACTTAGTTCCCCTTGCTCCCTTCCCCACTCCCCCTCCCACCTTCCTCCAGGTTCCCATTTCTCTTTCATTTCTTTCACCAATGTAGCCTGTGTGTATCTAGTACTTGTTTAATGTCATTAAGGATCAAAAGAGCTGCTCAGTTTTGATCTAACACACACATTACAAGTTAATCTCTACACATCCTTAAATCTCTATAATATACATTTAGAAAAAAATCACAATTCCACATGACATAATCATAAGGAATTTCAAATTTTAGCATCAAATTAATTGCATAAAAACCAAATTAAAAGCACATGAAAATCATTTCGTAGTACTTTAGAGTGAACTACATTTTTGTGTGTGTGAGAGTCCAGTCCTAAGCTTTCTCATAAAACCCCACAATAATGAGAACATTTAGGCCAGAACTCAGCACTGCCCTCTCAACACTGGCATCCCACAGACCTCTTCCCAGAGCATCCTAACCTGAGAAGTCTGCTGTAAGACAAAAACTGTATTTGGTGAACTCGTGGTCTAAAATTTATTCATGGCATCTGATAAACAGAAGATGAAGAAAACTTAGTGACCACTAACCCTCTAAAATGCTACCACAGCATTTACCACAAAGATGGTTATAAATGGGGGTTAAATGTAGTGTCAGAAAGCAGAAAACCAAATCCCAGTGAGGATTAGATTTGGACACTCCAAACTTAATAATCTCACAGCTGCCAAATTTCTTCATGTGTGAACAATGAACATGTAGAAGATGCAATCATCAGACATTTTCCATAAACTGGGAAGTTTGGCTGTATTTCACACCTTCTTAATAGTTTTGTAAACAGAGAACTTGAAAATGAGCAAAGATGGCAAGTGTCTAATTTTATAAATGGACAAACTATCTAGAGAATTTTCGCCAGTAGAACCTGCCTAAAGAGAAAAGATGATGAATATCTCTTGTGTCTGCTGATTACTGGAGGGTGCTTTATATTAGGAATTACAATCAAACCTAAACACAGGAAAAATAAAAGTCACAAACACTCCAACTAGAACTCCCCAGACAGAGAATATGTTCCTTTTCAAAGTCAGATGTCACTCTATTAGACTACTAGTTAGGAAAGTATTTTCTAACTAGGAAATGGCTTTTCCTATTTTTCACTGTCTTCTAAAAATAGAAGCACTGAAAGGCAATATAGTTCATCTTTCTACATTACTTTCACAGTTCTGATACTCTATTTTGCTGATTGAAAACATGTTAGATGAATGAACAATTCTAAGTGTGTACTCCGCACCCATTCAGTGTTAGCTGTTCTACACACATGGCAACAACAGTACTTTCCACAGTCCTGGAAGGAGGCGAGTTTTGGAATTTGGCTCAAGATGCCAATCCGCATATAAATGATCATTAGAGAATATTTTGGATTAATGCAAGTATCAGACAGGGCAAATATACAAAGATGAAAGTCAAAAGCACTTAAAGCTTTTTAATATTATCTGAAAGGAAAAGTAGGACATAAAAAGCGCTGATAAAATTTAAAAATCTTGTACAACATTTAACCACGTTACCAATTAGTTTTTCTATTCCCAATAATTAAAAGAGAGTTCACAAACTCTTTGAGAAGTGCAGATGGTAAAAAGTACTCCCAGCCATGGATGCCATCTGGGAGATGAGGAGCAGCTGTAGATTTAGGCATATACTAAGGTTGCAAACCCCCACGACAGAAGACGTAAGCACATCCTTCCAGTCTAGAACAGACCCGGTCATGGCATCAATGTCCTCAGTCCTTTCTCTTACCTAAGTTGCCTATACCTCATCTCCCATCTGAGCAAGACCAGTCTGCCTTCACTCACAGCTCTAATCTGGCTAGTCCCCAGGAAAAATTAAGAAATGGTAGCAGCAGAAACAAATGAAATTCAGGCACAGGCAGTGTCCTCACTAGGGAACTTCTGTGTTTATGGCAACTTCTGTGATTTGGCTTCAAAATTTGCTTTTGCATTCGTGCTCTTCGGTTTACTCAACCAACAAAAAAGCACTGAAAATGTTTGTGGCTATTCACACTAGAAACGTTTTTAACAGTTTATCAACAAAGACCCCCAGATGGCTATCCCATCATGCACGGTCTGCACAGTTCTAAGAAATTCTTGGAATTTGGTCTGTTATGTGATCATAATCCCCTCAAATGTACCCTCTATCTTACAGACATTTTTACTAAACACACTGACATCATTTTCCTTTCTTCTATTAATGATCAAAATTTTCAAATTTCATCATAATTTATCTTTTAATACAGACTGGACTTGTGGTATGTCACTAGCATTCGCTGACAATATCCACAGAGTAACTCCAGTTTTCTGAACACCTGTACAATTAATTACTCCAACAGCTGTTTTCTTTCCCATCCCTTGACCTGCTTTTATCATACCTTATTCCATATATACCTCTGGATAGCCCTTCAGCTGCATTTTGTTCGTTACTGACACTCTTTGTTCATTCTACAACATGCTAAAATTCCATTTAAGTACATGCTTTCAAACATCACCAATACAGCATTTATTTTTAATGTAACAAAGGACAAAAAGGCTGATAGAATGGTATACACTGTTTTCAATAGTAAATAGTCTCTGTGTAACTGCTGTTTACTTCTCTTGTGATTTTAAAATTTATTTTCCATAGCAAATAGAACTAAAACAACATTGCTGACTATAGAGGCAAAAAGTCTAAATAAATAGGGGTTTGTTTTTGTTTTTTCAAAATATATTTTGGAAAGCAAAATAAGCAAACATGAACCAATTTGTAAAACTTTCTAAGATAGAAGAGACCTGAACATAAAGACAGTAACACTTTTGACTCCTATCAGCACCAAATAGCAACATATGTATGTATGTACCTCTGGCTGTTCTGAAACTCACCATGTAGACCAGACTGGCCTCAAGGTCACAGGGATCTACCTGCCTCTGCCTTTCCAGGTGCTGTGATTTAAGGTGCTGCTACCACATCTAGGTGTAGGTTTTTATAAATATTACTTTATTGAACTTTTAAAACATTCTGGCCAAACAGCAATCAACATTTGGCAAACAGATTGGTCATTAGTTCCCTGGTGTATTTCCTTGAGGTACATTATCTTTACTAAGGAACTTTAAAGCTTGTCTCACTCTCAATGAGCCCACACTTGAGCTTTACTTGCATTTACATCTCAAATTACAATGTAGTAGAAATCAAAGCACAGCCAGCAAAACAAAAGGTATCAAAAGAGAATGACAGGTGCACAATGTTAAGTAAAGGCAGCTCACTTTTTTCTGAAGAAGCAACTAAGCAAAGACCAATGATGAAATTGCATTTGAGGCAGTCAGACCTAAGGAAGAGACAGCAGCAAGTCTGCTATTATGGAAAGCAAGTGACACTGAACAACAGGAAAGATGGCACGGCAGAGGGCATAGCAGTTTTAAAAATTTTAGTAGCAATTTCTAATATTAGCTAATGAACATTACATCTGATAATGCTGTTTAATAAAGTTGGTAGATGGTAGAAAAACACAAGTATCCTATCATATCCATTCAAAAAATATTTTTTGAATATTCACTTCTTAGGACAGGAAGGCAGCCTTACCAGGCCACAGAGGAAGACTATGCAGCCAGTCCTGATGAGGCCTGTACGCTAGGGTCAGAGGGAAGGGGAAGAGGACCTCCCCTATCAGTGGACTGGGGGAGGGGCACGGAAGGAGAAGAAGGAGGGCGGGCAGGATTGGGAGGAGTCAAGGATAGCGTCTACAACTGGAATACAAAGTGAATAAATTGGAATTTTAAAAAGAAAAAGAAAAATTAAATATTAAAAAAAGACAGACAGATTTCAATCTTCAAAAGCTTTTAAAAGCAAAGGAGGGGAAGCTGGAGAAACATCTCAGCAGTTAAGGATACAGGCCCTTCCTGAGGACCTGGGTTCAGTTCCCAGAACCTACATGCTAACTCACAACCATCTCTAACTCTGGCTTCAAGAATTTGATGTCCTCTTTTGGTTCCATGGGCTGTCGGCACACACAAAGTTCACACGCATACCGGTGAAATACATACACATTCCAGAAAAAAAAATTAAAAGCAGTGTTATGAACCAATTTATGTCTTAAAAAAGCATTTCACTATCCCAAAGGCAAGCCCACCTAGGCTGTTATTTCCTGCGTGTTCCTCCCACCCTGCATCCCTGGTAACCACTAATGTGCCTGCCTGTGGCACAGAATACTTATACAAATGGCATTAAACCACACAACCTTTGGTGCCTGGCTCTTTCTTTTACTGTGCCTTAAAGGATCTTCTACATTATAACATAAATCAATATTCTATTTTAGAAGTGGAATTACTACTGGGCTATGAGGTTAAATATATTTTTAACTTTATGAGGATCACTGAACTGTTTTCTACAGTAGTTGCCCTGTTTTGCAGTCTTAGTAGTAATCAGGTTCCAATTCCTTCATATCCTCAGCAACATTTCACTTTCTGTTCCCTTGATTGAGGGAAGTGATGGTCACTGTGGGTGTTTTGGTCTGTCCATCCCCTAGACACCCTAGAACTCACTCTATGTAAGCCAGACCTTCTAATAGTTGTTTTAGGAGCCTCCTAGGAGCCAAATTTATAAATCAGTCCACTGTCCCTGGCTTCTCATTCTGGTTTTAATGAGATATTTTATGCTTACTGCCATTTGGAGAAATGACTGTTCAAGTCATTGCCTACTTTTTGAACTGGCTTGTATTATTGTTGAATTGAAAGAATTCTTTATTTTAGAAATTGGTCTCAGCAGGT